TTTTGTGGACTCATTAGGATCTTCTGGATATTTTATCATGTCATCTGAATTTTTGAATATAGTGATAATTTGACTTATTTTCTAACTTGGATCCCCTTGATTTTTTTTTTTTTTGGGTGATTGCTAGCCAGGATTCTAATACCACATTTAATAAAAGTGGAGACAGTGAACATCTTTCCCTTGTTCCTGGTCCCCAATCTCAAATAGAACTCTTTCAGTTTTTTTTTTCAGGTGGACTGTATCACTGTAGCACTGTCCTTTCATTGTTCATCGATTTTCTTGATCGGGCACCAGTAATGTCTCCATTGTGAGACTTGTTGTTACTGTTTTTGGCATATCTAATACACCACGAGGAGCTTGCCAGGCTCTGTCGAGCGGACAAGATACTCTTGATAGCTTGCTGGGCTCTCCGAGAGGGATGGAGAAATTGAACCCGGGTTGGCCACATGTAGGGCAAATGCTCTGCCCGCTGTGCTCACACAGATGATTTCTCTTGCTCTCCTACAGGACCCTCAGGTCATGAATAACAAGCTTAGGGCATGATCTTCTCATTGTCAGGCTAAGCCAGGTCCTAAGGAAAGTGTGCTGTCTACTGCTGGCCTCCTTCTCCAAATTCCCTTTGCCCAACTGGCCTCCACAGACCCTAGCAACTGGTCTCACATGTGCCCCCTTCCCCTGCCAGTGTTATTTTTCTCACAACAATGAGATCAAGTATAAAATAACATTTAATGTAATATACTTTAGATTCCAGAGTTAAAAACTTATATATGTAAATGAGAATTGGCATTTTATTATATTGTATTAAATGGTTTTAATTTTCTTATTCACACAGGTCAAAATTATGTAATAATCAACAATTGGCTCTTACTGATTTATTTCCAATTTGCCATTTCTTAAAATTTTGTTGGAATAAGCAACATGAAATAAATTTGTTCCTAAGGGGGCAGGTTGGGTTTGGGAGGGAAACTGGGCTTATTGGTTGAGAGATGGTCACACCGATGGTATTGGTACACTAAAATCTTGATGAAACAACTATATAATGAACAACTTTGTAAATTATGGTGTTTTTAATGAAATTAATTAAATTTTAAAATAAAATCTTTTTCACAATCGTGATTATTTTGGAAAGGGGATGGGTGTGATTCAGATATTTGAGATGACTTCTTCAGTTGTGGGCAAAGCTCTGTTTCTTGTCCGGAGTGGTAGTTTTAAAACTGTTCACTTTATAATTCATTCCTAAGTTAAAAGTATGCTTGCTGTAATTTTCTATATGCGTTTATTGAGGGTGTGAGGTTGGGGATTTGGGCCACATCCTTGGTGCTCAAGAGCTCAGTAGTGACCCCTGGTGGTGGTCAGGGAACCACATGTGGTTCCACAGTTCCAAATCAGGGTAGGCCTTAACTCATGTACTCTCACCAGCCTATGTGTTAATATTTATTATTATTATTTTTTGTTTTTTTGAGGGTCACATTCGGCGATGCACAGGAGTTACTCTTTGCTCTGCACTCAGGAATTACTCCTGGCAGTGCTCAGGGGACCACATAGGATGCTGGGAATTGAACCCGGGTTGGCCATGTGCAAGGCAAACACCCTACCCGCTTTGCTATCGCTCCAGCCCCCTATGCGTTTATTTTAATAAAATGTTTTAAAACAAAAATAAAACAGAACAATTATATTCAGAGAAATTTAAATATGAACTAAAATATCAGTAAATTTCTGTTACATTTTAGGTACAATGATTATATTTTATTTAAATAATTTATATTATGTACAATGATAATTTATTATTGTGGGTACATTTGATAATGGTGTTGTAGTTATATATATTGTTATTTTGGTAAGAACTACATTCTGAAGTATCTGCTATTATTTACTTTAAAATACTTTATAGGAGACAAGAAAAATAAGCCAAGAGTAAGCCCTGAGCACTACTGGAATATACTATAACGGTCTTTAGATGAATTTCTATATATTATAATATTGCTTAAATTTGAATCAATTTACAAAATTGTTGGTATCTTGACAATTAAATTACATTGTTTTCTCTTTGCTTATTATTACATAAGATAGTGGGATATTTTATAACGGGATGTCAAGTGATCAAGTGATCAAGTGATTATGCATTTAGTAAACTTTTTTTTTGCTCATTTTTGTATCACACAGAGTGGTACTTAGGATTATCCCAGACTTGGTGCTTTGGGTCATATCCAGTGGTGGTTGTATGGGAAAAAATATGGTGGTGGAGATAAAACCCTGCCTCACATGCAAAGTGTGTGCACTGACCCTTTAAGTTCTTTGTCCCCAAGTAAACTTATTTGGGTGGAGCGTTTTGGGCCATAACTGGCAATGCTCAGGGCTTACTACTGGTTCTGTGCTCAGGGTTCACTCCTGGCAGGGCTGAGGGAATTGTACTAGGAATCTAACCGGGATTGGCCACACGCAAGGCAAGCATGTTACCCTTTGTACTATGTCTCCACTCTCATCAAATTTCAACATAAAATTTTTCAAGCCAGGACACATGTGGCAGTTCATTTACCAGCATTGTTCAGAGACTCATAAACAAATCTTGAAAGATATCAACTAGCAGCAAAAAATTTTTGGATACAGGTTCCTGACAAGACATCCTGAGCAGTCTTGGGAGGGGGCAGGACAATTTTCCCCCCTATCAAAGCTCCAGCAGTTGCATTCATATTCCAAAAGTTGTCTCCATGCCTCTAGCCAGACTGCCCAGTTAAATATTCTGGATTTTAGAAGCCACATCTCCAAACTCTACAATACTAACACCCCAGTAGGAGCACACCAGATTAGATGTGAATGTAATGTGTAAACCAACTAATCTCACTAACAAAAACATTAACAGAGAAGGCTTAATTTACAGGAACAGTTTAGGAAACCCTCAGGCAAGGACTTAATGTCCCCATGTTGAGATGCAACAATTGTCACAAATTTTCTTTTACTGAGATATTTTTTTATCATTCTATTAGTCATTTACTGGCAACAAGCAATATAAAACAAATCAGTGTGAACCTGCTGCGGGGGTAGACTTGGGTTGTTGGTGGGTAAAATGAAGACAATGGCGGAGGCAAAGTGACCGTGGTAGTGTGAATATCAGTGCTGAAATATCGAATGCCTATCACAATTCATCATGAACAATTTTGTAAACCATGGTGTTTAAATTTGTTTCGTCTACATATATAACACACTTCAGGTGGGCATTTTTTAAAAATAAATCACTTTGAGATACACAGTTACAAAGTGGCTCATGATTGGATTTTCTTCATACAGATTCCAACAATGTCCTTTAACCAATATACATTTCACATAAAAATGTCTCCAGTTTCCCTCCTTCCACCCCACCCCCAGTCTACCTGTATAGTATGCACCTTTCTTCTCTCTCTCTCTCTCTCTCTCTCTCTCTTTCTCTCTCTCTCTCCATTATTGTCCCAATGATCATTTCCAACTATCATTGTCATAGCAGTCAATTCTCTATCCTAATTCCCCTCTCCCCTCACTTGTGACTATTTCTTCTTTAAAGAAGTTTCAGTTCATCTCTTCTTCCCCTCCCCTTTTTTTGATGAGTTGGAATTTTTCTTGTAAAATTCTAATGTGCTTTGTATATTTTGGAAATTAACCCTTTAGCAGATAAGTGGTTGGCAAAAAGATTTTCCCAGTCTTTGGTCAGGCTTTGTATTCTGATCATCGTTTCTTTTGAGGTGCAGAAACTTCTTGATTTAATGCAATCTTGTTTATTTTTGCTCCCCTTTTTGGTCAGGGGTATTTCATCCTTAAAGATGCTTCTAGCTTCAGTGTCATGGAGAGTTCTGTCTTTATGTTCCTAACAGATTCTAGTTTGATATCAATGTCTTTAATATATTTTAATTTGAGTTTTATGCATTGCATTAGAGACCTGAGTTCATTAATTTGTAGCATGTGACTGGCCAGATTACTCATCACCACTTGACTTTCCTTGCTCTACTTCATATTTTTAGGTCCTTTATCAAAGGTTATCTGACAATATACCTGTGGGTCTGTCTCTGGATTTTCAATTCTATTTCATTGATTTGGGTCTGGTATTTTTTCAGTATCACACTGTTTTATTTACTATATTGCTTTGTAGTACAATTTTAAATTGGGGAATTTCCAACTTTTACTATTTTTCCATTTCAACTGGAAATCTGTAGTCAAAACAGACTTGCCATGAAATAATTCAAAGGGACTAAGTTGAAGTGAGGGAAGCTCCTTATTATGCATTGTCTAGTGCAGTAGAAAAATTTTACAGGATTATGTGAGGTCTTCCACTTAGGTAGAGGTATTCTAACAATGGTATCAAAAAGTATTTTCTATGGGTAAGGGTTAAACAGGACAGTAGGAGATTGACTTGAAGCTCTACTTTGTGTACTGTTAATGAACCTAGTGAAACTCCTAGGCTTCTTCTCTTGGTACCACCTGTTCTAGCATCAAGAAACCTACACAGACGAAGACTGACAATTTGACTTCACATAAATGTCTAAATTATCAGAGTACAAATATTGATAGGCTCTTATTGACACCTTCACTGGGTGGGTAGAAGCATTCCCCATCCATACTGCAAAATCCAGAGAGGCGTCTAACACATTACTTAAGGAAATAATTCCTAGACTTGGCTTACCCAGATAACTATAGAGTGACAATGGAACTTCTTTAACTCCTACACACCCAATACTTTGCCTCTTCTTAAAAAAATTTATTATTGACTTCATATGGCCTGACACCTCCAGCAGTTAGGAAAATTGTGATTGCATATACAAAGAAGAGTTATGGATGGGATCTGAAAGATTCACTTCTACTTAAACCTTCCTTTTCCTCTAATCTCATCATCTCAATTATTCATGCTTTTGAACTCTGAAGCATGATAATGAACAGGAAATGTACTTAAGTGTCAAAGGGTAGTTGATAAAGTGACTTAACTTCCAGATCCTTTAATTTCTTTTTCTTTTTTTTTTTTTTAAATCTTGTTGCAGACGAAGCTACTATGGAGGAAACTGGGCCAGTTTTAGTTTTTCAGGACTGCTTTCCTGGCTAAAGGAATACCAGGTAAAGTTCTTATCTGGTTTTTACATTGCCAATGTTACATTTTCTGTCACATAATAGACCTTCATTGAAAATAAAGAACTTCACCCATAATATAGAAATGATGCCTTACTTTATTTAATAAATTGACATTTATGTTAATTTTTCTACTGCCTTCAACTTAATAAGATGTAATTTAAAAAACCTAAATATTTATGTTGGCTAAAGCATATGTCCCTCTCAATGAGATCAAGGTGAGAGTGCTCAGAAGTACGTTGTATCGGGGACCGAACATGGGAACAGCCACTTGCAAGGCAAGCGCCTACCCACCATTCTATCAGTATATATTTGATAGAGCACTAAGAGTATGTTCAAATATAAGACAAGATCTTTTCCCACAATGGTTTTTGAGGGAAAATCTATTCTTTAGTTATTATTTTGAAACACATTTGGAGAAGGTTTATTAATTTAAAATGATCACAGTCATTCATGGTTTTTCATATTTAAGAAGTCACTGAGAGTATAATTAAGAGTAGAATAAAGTTGGGCCAGAGAGATAACTGAAAGAGACAGCAAGTAAAAAAAAATTAATAAAATACAGAAATAAATTTAGTAGTTTTTTCCCCTAAATGCAGGATCTTATTACTGCAGAAACTGTTATAAATAATCTATTTCACATTTTGTTGAAAATATGACTAGAACACCTATATTATCCAGAAATACACTGCTTGGCATAGTCCCCCAAACACAAAAACATTAATTTTAAAGGATACATGCACACCTGTATTCATTATTGAACTTAGTACAGTAGCCAAGATTTGGAAACAGCCTAAAAGTCCCCCACTACAGATAAATGGATCCAGAAATTGTGGCATAGGACTGGAGAGATAGTACAGCATATAGGGCATTTGCCTTGTAAGCAACTGACCCAGGTTCAATCCCTGGTATCCCATATGGTCCTCTAAGCACTGCCAGGAATTGTTCCTGAATGCAGAGCCAGAGGTAACCCTGAGCACCATTGGGTATGAACCCCATCATCACAAAAGAGCACCTCCGAGAAGTTGTGGTCGCTGTCACTGTTCTCCCGTTGTTCATTGATTTGCTCAAGTGGGCACCAGTAACGTCTCACATCAAATTGTGAGACTTGTTGTTACTGTTTTTGGCATATGGAATAAGTCACAGGTAGCTTGCCAGGCTTTGCTGTGTGGGCGAGATACTCTCAGTAGCTTGCCGGGCTCTCTGAAAGGGGCAGAGGAATCGAACTTGGGTTGGCTGCATGCAAGGCAAACACCCTACCCACTGTGCTGTCGCTCCAGCCCAAGAAGTTGTGGTATTTATACATAATGGAATAGTATGCAGCTCTAAGAAAGAACAAAATAATGTGATTTGCAGCAACATGGATGGAACTAGAGGATATCGTGCTGAGTGAAGTCAGTCAGAATGAAAGACACAGCTATAGAATGATCTCATATGATGCAGTAAAGTAGCGTCACATGTCTAAAGGCAACATATTGGGTGAACTGACCCACAAGGTTGAGTTGGGGCATGTGAGGCATTTGAGAGGAAGAGGAACTGGATTCCTTCGGGGAGGGATATCGATTGGTATACTGGTGGTAGGTGTGGTTTTCAACTTAATTCCATCAGAAAGCATTGTTACAAACCAAAAGCTATATTGTTATTGCCAGTGGCTTGCTTAAGTCGGGAGCAAGGGAGATGGACTCAAAAAAAGAGTTCTTTCACCTCTTTGCACAATCCATCTCTACCACCAGTGCTCAGGGAAATGGCTGGCTTGAGTCAAGACTGGTAAGTCAGTCCTAACCTCAATACAGGCAATTTTGGGGGCCTCTTACACTTCCTCACATAAAATAATTTCAGGAGAAGATGAAACAGTGAAACAAAATTGCTTTTACTGAACTTTACTGAAACTTATTTGAGTGGCTAGGATATATATCAGAGGCTTGCTTTCCATGAGGTGGCCTTGATGAGCACTATATGGTCTCCCCCAGATACCACTGGGCATGACCCCTTTGAGCTCCATATGTTGTAACTCCTCCAAAAAAAGTTTTCTTGAAAAAATTGAATTTTGACATTTGGAAAAGGTATATTTTAACATTTTTAAAAGTCCCCTGGGAACACCTGTAAAGGTGATTAGAGGCTGCCCCAAAGCCTTCATCCCTCTTGGAGAGACCAGAAAGCTACCGAGAGTATTTCGCCCGCACGGCAGAGCTTGGCAAGCTACCCGTGGTGTATGCAATATGCCAAAAACAGTAACAATGATGGTCTTCATTCCCCGGACCCTGAAAGAGCCCCCAATATGCCATTGGCTACATTAGCACATAACAGGGATGAATGGAGACATTACTGGTGCCCGCTTGAGCAAATTGATGAACATCGGGGTGGTAGTGATAGTGAACAATCCCCTATATTCAGAATATGCTATATTATATGATTTTCATTATAATATGCTACTAAGAATTACTGAAAAGATTAATGTAATACTTTGTACCTCATTGCGCCTTTATATGGTTCTTGTATTGTCTTTTTATTATGAAGTATACAAAGATTATAATAATTCTTATATTTGAGTCACTACTTTTCATATTCTTCATATAATCAAAATTTGACTTGTCATGATGATTAGTGACTTTTCTCTGTGTCAAGCCTTCAAAGTTCAGAATGTCAGTAGAAAAAGCAAATTTAGAACCTATTACATAGCAAAATATGGAAAAAATTATTAACAGGTAGAATGTGCAACAAATCCACTTGACTCACTGCTGGCAAGTTTGTTGTCCTAGTTCTTAAAGCAGTATAAAAACATCTATGCAGTATAAAAACACTGCATTAAAAATATCTCATATTCTGCTAGAAACCTGGATTTTATACATTAAATTTATTTATATAATATATAATATATAATATATAAATATATAAATACATTTATACATTATATAAAACCTAGATTTTATACATTATTTTCCTCTTTTTCCTTTGAATTTGGCTTATTATTCTGGAGTCACTTCAGTGATCTTTGCCTTTATGTTTTGATAGGATGGAAGAAAAAACATGAATGTTGATGAGCTGTACATTTTGTCACGAAATAATCAGCTGAAGTAGCCCAATTTAATTAAAACTTTGTATCTGTGTTTTGCTTAGGAAAACAATGACCCTGGAAATGAAAGTCTAGCATGGCAAGAGCAGATCCTTGAAAATGAAGACATTATTGCTCTCAGCAGGAAGGACAAAACCATTCAACATGTGGAAGTATTTTGTTATGCCAGGTATGAAAAATAATTACTTAGGGTGAACTGAATGACTTCTTAATATGTAATTTTAGTTTAGTTTAGTTTCCAAAAGATGGTTTTAACATTAATGTATATTGTACTGATGTACAAGGTTGCTGCACTCAATTACCACAAAAGTGCCTTGACCACCCCCTGCTATTCCTATATCCGCTCTAGTCTAGTTTTTACTCTCATTCATCCTCATTTTCTTTTGTTGTCAGTTATGTAATCCAGCGGGTAGGGCGTTCGCCTTACAAGCGGCCAACATGGCCGACCCGAGTTCGATTCCTCCGCCCCTCTCGGAGAGCCCGGCAAGCTACCGAGAGTATTGGATATGCCAGACACAGTAACAACAAAGTCTCCAATGGAGACGTTACTGGGCCCGCTCGAGCAAATCGACGATCAACGGGAGGGCCTTTACCTTTACCTTTATGTAATCCAGAGCCAAGGGTTTGCTGTTGTTCTATACAGTCTGTTCCTTATTTTATCTCTCAGAATTCCAGAGATGAATCATCTGGCTTATGTTCTCCCTATAATGCTTATCATAATATCATAATATCCTCCATTTCTGTCCATATTTTAATGACCTACATGATTTTATTTTTTCTTTGTACAGCATAGCGTTCTATTTTGTCTGTATACCACAGTGTCATTTTTTCTGTCATTGGACTTTTGGGTTATTTCTATGTCCTTGCTATTGTAGTAAATGCTGCAGTGAACATAGGTGTTTTTACTTTTTAATTTTTCCTTAGGTGAGTTATTATTCTGCTATTCATTTTTCCTTTTTAACTGCTTTTTATTTTTTGTTCATAGTACTATTAATAGTGGTTTGTCATGGATGAATATGGTGTTACATATATCTTTTCAAAGGAATATTTTTGTATTTTGCAGGAAGATTCCAACAAATAGGAACACTAGGTCACATGAAAATTCTATTCTGACCTTTTGTTAATGAAATCTAGCACTTCTCTCTGTAAAGGCTGGACTAGAGGACATTGTTACCTAAAGTGAATGAGGGTTCCCTTTTCACCCCGCCAGCTCTGGTTGTTTCCATTCTTTCTTATATATTCCATTTTAACTTTTTAAGGTGATACCTCATTGTTGTTTTTACTTATGCTTCCCTGATAATAAGTGATCATGACTGCCTTTTCATATTCCTACTACCTATCCATATGTCTTCTTTGAGGAAATGCCTCTTCATCTCCTCTCCCCATTTTTTCATGGGGTTGTTATTGTTTTTATTTTTATGGGTGCTTTATGTATTTTGCCTATTATCTCTTTTTGTATTGTATTGTTTGAAAATATTGTTTGAAAATGTTTTTTCCTATTCTGTAGTGTATCATTTAATTTATGCTGAGTTTGTTTTGCCATGGAAAACTTCTTAAATTTGATGGGTTTCATTTGTTTATTTTTGCTTTTGTTGTCTTTCCCTAAAATTTATATGGAGTTATACCACTCCATGTATAGCTTAAAGCCATTTTGAGAAAAGACAAGTTGGAAGGTATCATAACTCTTCGCTTTTAATTTTATTAGAAAAACTATAGTAATTAAAGAGCATGAATAAGTGAAACCAATTGATTAGAATTGAGAACCAGAGAGAAATAAACCCTCACATCTATGGACAATAAATTTTGTATGTGTTTTGTGTCATCCCTGATGATGCTCAGGGCTTATTCCTACCTCTGTGCCCAGGGATTACTCCTGGCAGGCTTGTGGGACCGTATGTGGTGCTGGGGATCGAACCTGGGTTGGATATATGCAAGGTAACCCTACATGCAGTATATGTCATTCCAGCCTTAGACAGTTAACTTTTTTGTTTTGATACTGGGCTGCAGCAGAGGTGTTCAGGACTTACTTCTGGCTTCGCATCCAAGGATCACTCCTGTTGGGGTTTGAGTGACCATATGTGATGCCAGAGATAAAACTCAAGTCAGCCACTTGTAAGGCACACGCTTTACCATCTGTACTGTGTCTCTAGGCACAGTTAATTTTTGAAAACACTAGCTGCATGAAGTAGAGCACTGAAAGCCCGTTTAGGAATTGGTGCTAGAAAAACTAGTAACCACATGAAGAAAAAGAAATTGGGTTTCTAAGTTGCACCATACACAAAAGTTAGTTCAGAATGGATTAAAGGACTCAAGATTAGACAACAAGAAATAAAATACTTTACGTTTAACATAAGGAAACCTTTCCAGGTTCTGGACCTCAAAGACATCACCAATCATTTGATTCCATTGGCAAAGAAAACAACAGCAAAAATAAACAAAAGAGACTATGATAAAGTAAATTCTACAAGGCAGTAGTACTTTTTTTAAAAAATTCTTATGGGAATTCGAAGACATTAATTTGAGTGGTTATGGTATAACCATGAACTAGTTTTTGTCACCTTCCACTAGATGGTGGTGAGGAAATTAATTTTTTTCTTTTTTTTAAAATTTTATTGAATCTACCGTGAGGTAAATAGTTACAGCTTTTCGTTTGGTTACAATCACACAATGATCAAACACCCATCCCTCCACCAGTGCATATTCCTCACCACCAATATCCCCGGTATGCCCCCACTTTCCCGCCCTCCCCCGGCCTCCATGGCAAACATTGTTCCCCATAATCTCTCTCTACTTTTGGGCATTATGGTTTGCAATACAGATATCGAGAGGTCATCTTGTTTGGTCCTTTATCTAATTTCTGCACACATCTCCCATCCTGACTGATTCCTCCAGCCATCATTTTCTTAGTGAGCCCTTCTCTATTCCAGCTGCCTTCTCCCCTTTGCTCATGAGGCAGGCTTCCAGCTATGGAGCAATCTATCTGTCCCGTGTATTTACTATCCTTAGGTGTCTGCCTCATGTTAATTTCTTAAGCATAGAGTAAAATGTTTTTATTGCAAACAAAAGCAAGCTGGATGGTAGAAATACTCCTAGTAGTAGTGGAAGGGTATTTCTAAATGGAGTTCTAGTAAGGGGCAACTGCTCTCCCTTTTCAATACTTTTCTACGTAATGAGTTGGGCAAATAATTTTATTTTTCTTTTATTAGGCTTAGATGTTCCTAGGTAATCTTAAGGGTTGGTTTGCTTGTAATACAGAAGTTTTCTCTCAGAAGCTATCTTATCTTTAGCTTTTCTGTTTCTGATCTTGGGGCAGGCAGGTGGCTGTTGTGCCCAAACTTGTAGCATGCATCCTTCTCCTAGGGATATTTCCCTTAGTTTATTTACCCAAATGTTGATGATAGAAAGTAATCTAAGCTAAAACCAAAAATAAATTCTTAGTTGCTTCTTTTTTTGTATCCATGAAAACTCCTTGACTGGTATATACTGGTATTCTGGCCCTTTCAGAAGTAATTTTTGATACTACAAGTCCTCTATTTTTCTATTACAAGCCCTCTATTTTCTGTTATTTATGTGAGTTGGAATTTAATTTCAAATGAATGACAAGTTTGAATACAGAGGAAATCATATTTTCATTTTTTTTACTAGTGAAACACCATGAGGTATAGTTGTAGACTTACAAACTTTCATGCTTGGGTTTCAGTTATACAATAATAGACTACCCATCCCTCTACCAGTGCCTATTCTGCACCAGTGATCCCAGTAGCCCTTCCACCCCGCCTCTGTGGCAGGGCATTCCCTTTTGCTCACTCTTTCCTTTAGGGTGTTGCAGTCTGCAATAGAGGTATTGAGTGGCCATCGTGTTTCGTTTATAGTCTACTTTCAGCATGCATCACGCATCCTGAGCGAGTCCTCCAAACATCCTTTACTTGGTGTTCTCTTCTCTGTCTGAGCTGCCTTTCCCCGCAGAATGTGCTGCTGGCTTCCAAGACATGGAGCAGACCTCCTGGTACTTATTCTTGGGTCTTCGTCTCCCATTCTGTTTCTTTATATTCTGCAGATGAGTGCAGTCTTTCTATGTCTGTCCCTCTCTTTCTGCTCATTTCACTTAGCATGATATCTTCCAGTTAGAACCACTTGAATTTAAATTTCCTGACTTCATCTTTGCTAAGAGCTGCATAGTATTCTATTGTGTAGATGTACCAAAGTTTCTTTAACCAGTCATCTGTTCTCAGGCACTCAGGTTTTTGCCAGATTCTGCTATTGTGAACAATGCAGCAATGAACATAGAAGTGCAGATGTCATTTTGAATGTACTTTTTTTGCCTCTCTGGGATATATTCCACGGAGTGGTATTGCTGGGTCAAATGAGAGCTCAGTTTTTAATTTTTTTGAGAATCATCCATACCATTTTCCAAAAGGGCTGAACCAGTCGGCATTCCCACCAGCAGTGAAGGTAAGGTAAAGGTAAAGGCCCTCCCGTTGATCGTCGATTTGCTCGAGCGGGCCCAGTAACGTCTCCATTGGAGACTTTGTTGTTACTGTATCTGGCATATCGAATACTCTCGGTAGCTTGCCGGGCTCTCCGAGAGGGGCGGAGGAATCGAACTCGGGTCGGCCATGTTGGCCGCGTGTAAGGCGAACGCCCTACCCGCTAGCAGTGAAGGAGGGTCTCTTTTTCACCACATCCACGCCAACACTGGTTGCCTTTGTTCTTTTGGATGTGGGCCAGTCTCTGTGGTGTGAGATGATTTCTCATTGTGGTTTTGTTCTGCATCTCCCTGATGACTAGTGATGTAGAGCATTTTCTCATGTGTCTTTTTGCCATTCAGATTTCTTCTTTGAGGAAGTTTCTGTTCATTTCGTTGCTCCATTTTTTGATGGGGTTGGATGTTTTCTTCTTGAGGAGTTCAACCAGTACTTTGTATATCCTTGATATCAACCCCTTGTCAGATGTGTATTCGGCGAATATCCTTTCCCATTCTGTAGATTGTCTTTGTATTTTGGTCACTGTTTCTTTTGAGGTGCAGAAGCTTCTTAGTTTAAGATAGTCCCATTTGTCTATCTCTGTTTTCACTTGGTTGGCCAGTGTCGTGTCATCTTTGAAGATACCATTCAGTGTTGTGGAGGGTTTTGCCAACCTTGTCTTCGATGTCCTTATAGATTCTGGTTT